ATTCAATTTTCTCAAGGCACTTACGCACATGTGTAACTTAGACCACTAAACAACGTTACTGATTTAAATGGGACAACTTATGTGCTTAAATTAAGGTGTGGACCTTGGTCACCAATCCTTACGCACCATATTCATGAACAGCTTGATTTTTATTCCACTTCCTCAATCTACTTATCTATCTGTCAAAGTATTCAATCCTGTCATTCATTACCAAAATATCTGAACCCCTTGCATATAAAATGCAGCGCAAATAAGGCAAGTCTATAATGGACTTCATGGAGTGAGTCTCTATGGTATTACAATCTTTCGAAGGTCTCAACCTGCTTAGGATAGGGTTTCTAGTTTTGAGGTTGTGTACCTGAGTAGGGACTAAGCAATGAAAGAGGGTTTCAGTGTTATGAGAGTCATTTTGCTGACAGAAGGGGTAGGTTTTTACCAAAAATGGCTTGATTCTGTGTTTGCTTGCTTTTATCTGGAAGTTGGTTCCTCAGCCAGATCCCTCACAATGACAGATAATAAATAAGAGGTGTGGGGGGGAAAACAGTGGTAAAGCTGTTTCTATGTAGGAAATACACTGAAGTAAAAAATTAAGTAGCCATGGATTTCTATACTCCTGTTCTAAATTCCTACAGCCTAATAAAACTACAGTGTGTGTGTGTGTGTGTGTGTGTGTGTGTGTGTGTGTGTGTGTGTGTGTGTGTGTGTGTGTGTGTGTGTGTGTGTGTGTGTGTGTGTGTGTGTGTGTGTGTGCGCGCGCGCGCGCGCGCGCACAGATTTGTATCTTCATGTGTGTACTGAACAGTGCCATGGTCTCCCAATACATAATTCTCTTTCACCAAGCACCCCTGCTCAGCTCCTGAGCGAAGACCTTGTTTGTTCACTCTTTCACACCCCTACAAATTCTGTGTGTGTCATCCTGCTGACATTTCCTTTCTCCTCCAAGTATGGGTGCTCATCTCCTTATATAATGTCTTATGCACAGTAGCTCTCATTTCTCCTCCTAGTGTCCTCAAACTCCCCCTTTCCTTCCTGCTGCCTTCACCCCCAAATCCTATCAGAATTCCATCTCTTACTTATAAAATATAGGTATGTGTATACATACTCCTATGTACAGAAAAAAACATATCCTGCATATGACCAATACCTGACAGTCTTGCTCATTACTAAGTCAGACACGCTTCCATGTACTCCTACGATAGAAATGAAGTTTATCAAAGTATAACCAAAGTACAGTATGTAGGTGACTTGGAATACAGAGAATTGGCATGCATCTAAAATGACTCTCAAATTATAGTAATTCTGTCACCCCAAGAAAGTAAAATTAAAGCTTCAGGGAACATCAGATTAGACTACCATGTATTAAATGTAAGCTACATGTATTTCTTAGCCTATCGCCATTTTTGTTTTCTTCCCCAGACTCACTTTGCTTCTTCCTCTTTAAAATACATCAGTTGCTATGGAAACAAATATGAGATTGTAATACGCAGAGCAGCTATTCAAAAGCACTGCAAAGAAGTTAATTAAAGTTAAGATTTGAAAACTGAAGGATAGTCTTTATCATATACAAGAGAGGGGACTAGCAAAGAACAGAAACAGAGTGTAATTAACAATAATGAATTTACAACAATGATACATTTTTCTCAGGATGCTGGAGTGGGATTTGCCAATATGAAGACTCCACTGCTACTAGTGAGATCAGCATTTGTCCCAAACATATTTCCCAGCATTTGTTGATTTCATATGCATTGCACTCTAACTAAACATAAACACAATTCAAGGACAACAAAGGATCCTAACCTCTGTAGTAGCTTTTGTTGAGCTTTGAAGCAAAGATGAATAAGATTGTCCAAAGATTTCCCTATTCCCCCATTTCTCCGGGATGAAACCAAGATTTTTTTTTAAAATTGCAAAAACCAAAAGCAGAGAGGGAGAGTGAAGGATAGCCAATGGCCCAATGCTTAGGGCACTTAGCAGAGACTTTAACTTGTGGTCTCTAAACCCTGTGTTCTTCTTCCACATCCTTGCTGAGCCTCCTAACCTACTTGTTTGCTACTACATGATAGGATTCTCTTAATATCTCCTGATGTATCTATTTTACTTTTATATAAATAATTAAATGTTAATGATTAGGAACCTGAGATTCCAATAGCTGCGGATTATGTTCTGACCACCCAGCTCTCTTTCTGGTTTTGACCAGAAAAACCATCCTGGACTTGAGTCATGCTACTAACAAAAGCCTAAAACAGGGGTTAGCAACCTAACACCAATGGACTGAATCCAGCCCATGAAGAAGTCTGATCTGGCCTGTAATGATCCAGTCTGGTACACAGTGGATTGATGGCATGGGGCTACACTGTGCTGCCCATCCTCTCTGCAATGCTCCCTTCTGCTTTGTCACATCTGTGTTTACCCTTGCTGCAGAGAAGATGAAGATCAGAAACAAAAGTAAGCACAGGCAGTTGGCCACTTGGGAAAGCAGAGACTTGTGTCTTGCAGTGGGAGCTAGATTGCAAAGGGTGGCCCACGCTTGCTGATCCTTGGCCTAGGATACTCTTGCAAAAAGAAGTTGTTTGGATTCATCCATATTTTCCAACAAAAGAACACTTCTAACTACTGTCAAGTCACGGGCATAAGTCAGGGGGACAGAGAAAATTCAGCATTTGGGCATAGATCAGGTCCACACAGAAAAGTCTGCATTTGGGAATAAAGCACTTTGATTCTAATTATATGCCAGTTTGAAAGACAGTTGCCATAAAATACAGTTTCTACCCAAGCTACATCATTCTGATGGACTCTGTAGACAGCTGCCAATGTTCAGGACAAAGTACTGGAGTACCATGACTAGCTAATGGCTTTGCCCTAGTAGGTTACAGTTCCACAGCATTTTCTGATGCAAGTGAAATTGTTTTTATTAATTAAATTTTATGGCCACTGTCCTCACTTGGATAAAACTCTCCTCAAAATCTGAGTAAAAACACAGTTAGGGTTTGAACCTATTATTCAAAGTAAGTTAGGAAGCATTATGGACAATAACTATTGCTCTCTATATAAATCTAATAAGGATAATATCATATTATGAACAATAAACATTTTCACATACATTTTTATTTTCTTTCTACTAAACCCACCCTACAGAAGCAAACTACACTTTGAAATATGAATTATAATGTGATAACCATGTTTTTCCAGTGCTGGAAGCCCCCATTCATTTTTAGCTCAGTGCCTCATGGAAGGCATATGGTTATCATATTATAATACATGGGCAGCAGTGTTAGACCTGCTACCATGCACTATGCAGATCTGGCTGGGTGTAACCTTACACCCATGACTTACGAGGTTTTCCGGCTTGAAGCTTCACCAGCAGAGTGTAAAGTGAAGCCACTCCAGAGACAGTTGGGTGAAAAGCAGCCCTGGCGGTGTTTGAATTGAAGTTGTTCAGGCAGAGAAACCGATCTGATGGCATATTGAAAGATGGATGCAAGATGTGTGAAAGTTAAGGAAGGGAATGTTAGCACATGACAAAGAGGTTTGGAAAAGAGGGAGGGAAGAGATGTATGGGAGGAGGAGGAAGAGGTAAGGGAAAGAACAGAATAGGAGGAAGGAAGAGAAAAATGTAAGAAACATGTAATGCACCCCTGAATTTTTCATTCCTGACCTAACTGTCCTGTGTCTTTTAGTGTCAAACAGGACTACATTCTGCCTCAAATAATGTCTTTAAAGCATAAACACTAGATTCCGACTTAAAGGCCTATTTTTAAATCTTTTTGCACTTTGTAACTGACCTTCTCAGGAACACGGAAGTATCAAGCACTATGACAGTCACTTTACAAAGATTTAAATGATCCAGGCTGTCTGCCCTTTGATAATTCAGTACAGAAAAACAAAACAAAATAAAATAGATGTATCCTGTGCTGTATTTTCAGGAAAACCTTGACCTGTGGGTCAATATAACTGCACTTCATTTTATAGTTTTGTATATTTGCAGCAAGAACTGTCCAATTCTATGTCTCCACTGTTTTCCTCTTGACTTCCTGAAATCCTTCAGTTAAAACTTCCAGACTCCAGATCCATTCCAACTGCAGTGGTAGCCTGAATTGTTGATATCTGCTGACCTTGGACTCAGAGCCCAAAACTAGCTTGGCTTGTCAAATTACTACTGAACCTTGAATGGCAGACATAGAACAAATTACTAAACCTGTAGTGGTTCCAGGTTTGTAAGATTTATTCATCCTCCCAGTATTATCTAACAAAATCTTAACAACTGAAAACAACAAGCCACTGAATACTACACCATCTTGACCCATACAACTGACCACATTCGTGCCCTAAAGATAACATCCAATGTTTTATAATCATGAAAAAGTATTCCTAAGACACAGCATGAAGGCACATAAAATAACTCTCCATTCTCAGGCTATGATTCTGTCAGCTACCACAGACTAAACAGGTTCAATATGTGTTCAAAATCTGGTGAGAGAACTCTTAGGAAAATGTGCAACGCTTCCAGAAATGATGCTGGATTTGAAGTAGGAAAGTGATTTTACTTTTTGCTCCTACACAGTACTAGGAGTGCATGGTACTGTGGAAGATGATGCATTTGAAATGAGACATTGGACACAAAGCCAAGGTAAACACCTAAATGCACTGCTTGCAAGAGAAGAAATACTGTTCCTAGTGTACCAGCCAACTTCTAACTTGAATAATTATACTCTGCCTGCTTAATTTACTCTACTATTGCAAGTGCATACAGTATTCCTCTCTCAAATCCCTCAACTGTGGCATATTGCTGCTGTGGGTTATTCAGTTGCTGTTTCATTCCATCTCAGAGCTCATAGCACAGTGACACGTTTCCTGTGGATGTTAAGTCTGTGGACCGCTTAGGAATGAAAGATGTAAAATATAAAAAATATCATTGAAACTCAAAAACCAAGGCGATCTTTTCTGACTTGCACACCTGTTGTTTCCTAGGTAAATCCTGCTACCTGATTAAAAGGTCTTACCGTAGAGTAGAATGCCTGCCAGACCGGGAAATGCTACTGCCAACTGGAGAAGGTAAGTTACTTCCTCTGTGCAGGTCTTCAATGGAACGACTCCAAGGTTTGGATTTATCCATTGAGTTTTCTACATTGTTCTCCAAGCTTTCAAAGTCAAAACTGAAAGGAAATAGAAATTCCAATATAGGCTTGCACAGAAAAGAGGTGCATAGCATTTTCCTTCCTGTTAAACATCTGCAGATTTTACTAGGTCCCAGCAGATTACAAGAAAAAAGAAAGAAAGCAATGCAAAACAATTTCCCCTCAGCTGAAACATTGAGCTAGCTTCAAATACATTTTTCAGCAAACCTGGACCTTGACAAAAGAAGAAAGAACAACATAGGGATATAATTTAGGAAGAATCAAACAGTCGTGTATTATTCTATTTAAATGTAAAATAAATACAACATTGGATGATTTGTTGATGAACAACACTGCCTTGTTGGAAGGAGGGGGAAGCTCAAAGCTGTCTTCATTTTATCTTAATAAATCTATACATTGTGTGAGCACTAATTTAGTTTCATCCATCAATATGTGACCGAGCATTTATACTGGCTTGCTGGCCAAAGCTAACCTTCAAACACATGTAATATATTACCATAATCATTACAGATATTCTTTGATTTTTGATTCGTCGCCCAAAGTTCTGCCATTTCAAGCAAGAGCTGATTGTTCCTCTTACATTTTTTGAGGTCATTACTCATGTTTACCACGTTAGGGAAGGAAAAAACCTCGGCAAGCTAACTTGCATGCACTTGTACAATTTTAGGAACAAAGTCTTTAAACAGGCATAGCTTTGTGCTGAGAGCCATTTTTCCAGTGTTAGCAACATTTTTTAAACATGTAATTTTCCTTCATTAGTTTTATTACAAGTCCATCAAAAAATCTCATTTCTAAGCAACAGTCATATGCTTCTGTATGTATCCAATCTAAAAATAAAGTGTTGACTCCCCTCAGCTGAGTTTGCATTGCTAATACAATCCTCAGTCCTACCCTTTCTTACCACATTATGTTATAGTTAGAGCTTTTAGCATGAAAATAATGACATGAAATCCTGTGGGTATGTGAGAAGTGGTTCTCAGTTAAAATACGTCATTGAACTTCTGTTCAAGACAATGGTGATACAATGGCTTACACTGGCACACAATTATTTTTTCCCAAAGTCACATTACTTTAAATAGTACAGTTACCTATATCTATTTAGAAGTATTGCCCAGTGTTCAGAACAGATAATTGGGAGCCAGGGATTCTTTGTTTTATTTCTGGCATTGTCTCTGACTTTTTGGATCGTCTTAAAATTTATCATCTTTCTTGTAATCTGCCTACGCATAAAATGGATACAATTGTACCTACCTCACCTGACAGGGACGTTGTAAAAATTAATGTGCGTACATTGCTTTGAATAGGAAAGAAAAGTTTAAATAAACTTACTTCAACCTTAATCACATAAATATTCCTCACAAATGAAAAATATTTAATAATGTTTAGGAAAACATTAGTTACCTACTTATATATGAGAGGGGGACTGTCACTGGAGTTCTGTGGAACTAGATATAGAAGAAGCTTTGGAAAAGGAAGACTTAAAAAAAAGCATGCATCTTGATATAAAACTAAATTTGTTCAACTGTTGCACTTTGTCCCCCTAAGAGGGAATCAAAGCTAAAACAGATGTGATTACAGTCTTAAAAATAAATAGACTGAAAGCTTAATGATATAAACAAGTATCTTTTTTCCCTCGATAGTATGCTGTGATCTAACATTTTTGGACTAATTTTGCATTTTACTCTGGTTCTCTCCTAAAGTGTCTACATAATTTTAGGCCAAGCTACTGCAATGAAAACAACTTCACAGGAAGACTGCAGCATCAAACTTGATCTTTCTCTCCCGGGTTTGCTATCTAGTGCTGGATCCTTTGTTTTGTTTCTGCAACCCTGATGAATACAAGTCATGTCTTACTTACGTGACAGCGTACTGTGCAAATGACAAATATTCCACCAGAACATCCAGCCCTTTGTTCTCTTCATTCAAAAACTCTCTGACCCATCTGTTAAAAAAAACCATTAGAGTATCAGTGCACTTTATTGTTTTCTGCAGGGGGTGGGGGGCTGATTGTATTCCTTTTCAATGAAACCACAAGCATATCCATTGTGTAAAAGGAAATACATTGAGCAAAAGTTATTCTGTCTTCACTTTGGAATAAAGGACCTAAAATATACATAAATAGAACTAACACATTTGCAGTAATATAAAAGCAACACATTCCATACAATCAATACCTATGCCATGAACTCTGCACTGCTGAAGAAAAGCTAGATATGAGTCCCTTTCTACATGAAAAAAAAATTGTACTGGGAGATGGTGTCCTATTCGGACTACCTAATAGACTGGTAACATGACCACACTACCTCTATAGCCAGGCTTCAGTTCAAATCCACACTCATCGTGGCACAACAAGCTGCATAAACCATTGGACCTGCCAATAACAGATTGGTGTTTATGGGTTTCTTGAAATACAACAGTTACAATGAATCTGGTTTTTTTCCACACAGTAGCATACAACAATCTTCCACGAGGTAAAGGAAATAAGCAACAAATTAATAGTTAAAGACAAGACAGAAAATGCTTGATATATTTAAAATACGCCTGGCTTCTCATACCAAATGACCGCATTTTTTTAAAAGTTAGCTTGATAGTCTAAGGCAGGGGTGGGCAAAATACAGCCCATCAGCTGGATCTGGGCCACCAGGCAATTTCATCCAGCCCACCCACCAACTAATTGTACCCCACCGAGCCTGTGCGCCTTGCTCTCACCCTTGTGGGCCCAACCAACACACAGCTCTCTGGAGGGGACCTGCTCAGCTTCCCCGGCATCCCGCTCAATCCGGGCACCAGGCAGGGAAGCAGCAAGGCAGCTGCAGCAGTTGGGCAGAAGCACAGAGCATGAGGCTGGGGCTGGTGGCAGCACAGAGCCTGCACCCAGTAGGATGGAGGGAGCGCAGAGCTTGGGTGGGCAGGGCTGTGAGGGAAGGTGGGGGATCCCTCACACATTCCTCCCATAGTGCATAGTCCCTGCTGCTGGTGACAGCAGCAGCAGCAGGCAGTGGGCGCTCTGGGCCCAAGCAGGCACTGCCACCCAGCGGTGCGAGGCTCCAGCCAGCGATGCAAGTGTCACCAAGGAGCGCAGCTAAGCTGGCCCGCCTCTATCACACAGGGCTCTGCACAGCACAGGTGCAGCTCCCAGCATGCACGTCACTGGGGGAAGCCCCACACAATGGAGTTGGCTGCCTTCACACTCCCTGAATGCAGGTCCTGGGACTCCATCAGAAGTGGAGGGGAGCCCCGCCCCCTGCTTCCCAGCAGAGTCCCGGGGCCTGCATGGCAGGCAGCGGTGAAGACAGTCGGCTCTATCATGCAGGACTTTGCCCGGTGATGCGCAAGTGCCAGGAGCTGTACGTGCACCATTCAAAGTCCCGCATGATAGAGGTGGGCTGGCCTGGCTGTGGTCCTTGCCACCACTGGTACTAGCCTGAGCTGTGCATCTCCAGGTGGCAGCACCTGCGTGGGCCATGAGCACCCACCACTGGCTGCTGCTGCTGCTGCCACCAGCAGCAGGGGCTGCGCACCATAGGAGGGAATGTGTGGGGGGTCTCTACACCCCTCCCACCCTCCCTCACACCTCACTAAAGCCGCACCCACACCCTGCCCCATTGCCCCTGACACACACAGCCACACCCCCTCACAAACCCCCACACTCCACCATACACACACCTACCCTCAACCACACCCCACACACAATATACAGAAGTAAGTCTTGATTTTTGAGTTATTACGCAATCACCTCCACATACACTACACAAACACAAATCACGACAGAAATACTTTTCGTAATAAAATTAAAATATGTTATAGTAATGTTTGACTTTTAGTATATGCTGTTTTTTCCTGGTTCCAAGATGGCAGCCCACCCTCCCCAAAAGGAGTACTTCCAGGGTGCAAGGGGAGGGACTTCTGGTGGCAAAGGTTAGAGGTTAGCGGGAAGACATCTGGTCCCAAGATCGCAACTGGGCAAGGGGCGGGGCTACCTTTGCAGCCCTCAACAGCTCACCAAAACTCATTAGGCAGCCTAAATAATTGCTTGCCCCAGTCTCAGGGCATGTGCATCCCACATCCTGTCATAAATTTAAGTGTGCCACCAAAAAGCACACTCCAGCTACTGACATGGCAAACCAGGAAATGAGACAGTAAACCCACCAAGCCCCTCAATGTTTCTCAAAATCTGTCTGGTATGCTGCAGACCAACAGTGAGAAGCAGCCTCAGCAGAGCTTCGCCGGTCTGGGGCATGCACAGTGAGAGCAGGTGAGTAGTGCATTCAGGAGGCCCAAAGCACTACAGTCCAGTGATACCAAAACATCAATTCCTGCAGAACCTGACTACTGTGGGTTCTTACTGAAAACTTGAGAAAAATCAAGACAAACCCAACAATAAGAGATTTATTAAGATTTTAGATTCTCCCTCCCCCCTTCTTAAAGATTGGCACCACACTGGCCCTTTTCCAGTCTTCTGGGACCTCTCTTGAGCACCACAAGTCTTCAAATACCTTTGCCAATGGGCCTGCAATGACTCCAGCCAATTCACAGATTTCATAGGCATTAGGGCTGGAAGGGACCTCGCAAGATCATCAGGTCCAGCCCCCTGCCCAAGAGGCAGGAAGTCAGCTAGGGTCAAAGGATCCCAGTAAGATAGGCATCCAAATGTTTCTTGAAAGTGTCCAGAGTAGGAGCTTGCACCACCTTGGGGGGGAAGTCTATTCCAGGCCTTGGGGACTTGGACAGTAAAGAAGTTTTTCCTTATGTCCAGCCTAAAACAGTCTTCCAGGAGCTTGTGACCATTGAACCATGTCTTCCCTTGGGGTGCCCTGCTGAACAGATGTTCTCCCAGTTCCTGATGTACACCCCTTACATACTTATAGGCTGCCACCAAGTCACTCCTGAGCCTATGCTTCTCCAAGCTGAAGAGTCGCATGGCACTCAGACTCTCTTCATAAGGCCTGCTCTCTTGCCCTCTGATCGTTCACATGGCTCTCCTCTGGATTCTTTCAAGCTTCTCCTCATCTTTCTAAATTGCAAAGCCCAGAATTGGATGTAGTACTCCAGCTGCAGCCTCACCAAGGCCAAGTACAGTGGGAGGATGATATCCTGGCCCTTCAGCACTCTCAGGTGTAGTCCATCCCGTTCTGCTGACTTGAAGACATTCAGCCAATCTAAGTGCTCCCTCACCAGTTTGGCACTGACCTCTTGGTCCTCTTTTCCCCCACCCCCCGCAACCATTCCATCCAGTATCCAACCAGGTGGGCAATCACCATTTGCATGCAGTAACACCAACACAAGCCATACAAGGAAAGGCTGAAGGACTCCAGTCTCTTCGACCTAAAAGCAAGAAGGCTGAGAGGGGACTTGGTAGCAGCTTACCCTATATCAGGGGAATACACATCAAGGGCTCAGCGAACAACTGTTCACCATGGCACCCTTGGGAAAAAACAACAGTAATGGCCACAAACTCCTGGAAGACCATTTCAGGCTTAACACTAGGAAGAACTTCTTCACAGTTAGGGTGTCCAGACTGTGTAATAAACCCCCTCCAGAGGTGGTGCAATCACCTACCCTGGAAATCTTCAGGAGGAGACTGGACGGCACCTCGCTGAGGTCACCTGACCCCAGTTGTCTTTCCTGCCTGGTGCATGGGGGTTGGACCCAATGATCTTGCAAGGTCCCTTCCAGCCCTTAACAATCTAGGAATCTATGAATTGACACAGTATTCATTAAAGAGTTCAGCTTCCTCCTGACTGTCTGCTATCACCTGTCCCATCTGATTCTGTAAGAGGTTCACATTTCACTTGGTCTTCCTCCTGCTCACTATATACCTAAAGAAGGACTTCTTATTGTTCTTGATTTCAGTCACCAACCTGATCTCACTTGCCGTTGCCTTCCTTATCCTCTCCCTATAAATATGGGCTATACTTGTGTATTCCTCCTTGGTGACTATCCCTTGTTTCCACTGCCTGTAAGCCTCCTTTTTCTTTTTTAAGTGCTCCTTAACTCCTCTGGTAAGCCAAGAGGGCTTCCTGGCCCCTTTACTACCTTTCCTGCATATGGAATGGACCTTTTCTGCACTCTAAGGATTGCTCCTTTAAGGATAACAACCCTTCCAGAACTCCTTTCCCCTCCAGTCCCTCCTCCCACTATTTTCCTAAGCTCAATGAAGTCAGCCTTTCCAAGTACCTCTGCCTTACTGGTTGACTTCCCTGCTCTATGATGGATAGTGGATTCTATCATCTCATGATCACCATCTCCCAGATTACCCTCAGTCCTCAGATCTCCCACCAGTTTGTCCCCTTTGGCTAGAACCAAATCCAGCAAAGCCTTCCCCCTGGTTGGCCCATTCACCTCCTGTACTAATTAAAGTTCTTCAAAAACCTACATGACCAGTCAGACCTGACCAAGTGCTCCTCCCAGCAGATATTAGGGTAACTGAAGTCACCCAGGACAACCATGTCTCTTGAATGTGCAGCCTCCATCAGTTCTCTAGAAAATTCCAGATCCAGCTCCTCTTCCTGGTCTGGTGGTCTGTAGTAGACACCTACCTTCAAGTCCCCTTCTCCTCATCCGCAACCCGGTATCTTGACCCAGAGGGTCTCAAGTTGCCCTTCTCTCAAACCAGTTTGATTCTACAAGGAGGCATACCGCTCCTTTACGTAAAGACCTACACATCCTCCCTTCTTCCCTACCCAGTTCCTTCTGTGCAGCCTGTAGGCCTCTATGCATACAGCCCAGTCATGCCTGGCATCCCACCAGGTCTCCATTATTCTGACATTATATATCCTATTTGCTAGCAGAAATGCCAGTTCCTCCTGCTTATTCCCCATACTCCTAGCATTTGTGTATAGAGACTTAAATCCCTCATCAGTAACCCTCAGTTCCCCACTGCCCCGACATCATTCCAGACTCTTGACACCTCCCTGACCACCCTCTCTATGTCCTTTCTGCTTGGCTGTCCGCTGGCTTGCATTCCTTCTGCACACCCGTCCCCCGATGCACCTAGTTTAAGGCCCTCTCCAGCAAGTCGACCACCTTGGAAGAAAGCACTTTTTTCCCTAGCAGAAGCCAAAGCAAAGCTCAGGAGATGAATTGTGTTGTAGACAGCTGCAGTATCCCAGTAGTGTTGAAGTGTTTCTAAATGATGTTTCAAATATATCCAAGACAGAAAAGCATTATAGAAAACAGTACATGTAATGACATCTGTTTATTCACTGAAGTGCTAAAAGATTGGATCAGATTCTGTTCTCAACTATACCTGTTTAAGTGTGGAGAAACTCCTCTGGGGCAGATAAATTTCTGGGGTACTTTACTTCTATTAGCATAACAAGTTGCCTCTTTCATCATTTCTTGCCAAGTCACCTACAGTGACTTAATTTTCTCTATAGCAATTCAGGAGCTCCAAATCCCACTCTCAAAGTTCTCACTGAGCATAGTTGCATGTCTCACAGATTTTAACTTTTTTTTTTTTTTTTTAAATAGGCCTTGACCACTGAGTCTTCCCTACTCATTTCCATTACCTATACATCCCCACTTTAAGGAGCTTTCTGTATAGCTGCATTCAGAAACTATTATTTTGCAACAAAAGTACCATCATCCAGCCAACAGTGGGGCTGCTACTACCGAAAACTACAAATAAAAGTGCGTTTTTTTATAATTCCTTATTTTCCCAAAGCTGAGTTTACCCCAGAAAAATTAAAGGGTCAACAGATTTTCCATAATCATACTGTAATGATGTGTAATACATGTTATTGTTGGGTTTGTCCTAAAGCTCCTTCTGGCATGAAACTATGACATTGAAAGTGGGTGGTTCCTCTCATAGATGAGAGGCTTACCTAAAAGATTCATAGGCATCCAGGGGAGAAGAGTCATTTTTAGAAGGATCTTCTTCTAAACAACCCATTTATCAGTTAAAAATCATTTAATTCTACACAGCACAGCAGTAGCCACACATGACCACTTAGTTGTCACTGAAGGACAACATGCGTTTTAAGTCACAATTAGCCATAGGATCCAAGAGGACAGCTCTGGTACAACTCTTCCAAAATGCAGGAGTAAGCTGATGTGTTGAAAGTTTCTATTGACAATTCCATGGAAAAAGGTCCACAACATTGTGTAGCTTGTACTTTAGCTGCTGACAAACCGCTACAACTGCTTACAGATTGCATTGGCTTATTCCAGCAGATGCAGCCTGAAACACTGCAACTCTGCCAGCACTATATTAAAAAGGATGGTCTCGCTTCAATATTTGATGGTCAATTTAATTTAATTTCAGTAATGTTTCAGAAAGCCTTTTGACGTTACATGGAAATCCCAGGCATGTAGCGCTCTACCATATTTTGTCACAGCTGGTTGCTAACTGGAGTCTTGGCTCTTAAAGAGTGGAATCTTGATCTGAATCCATAATACTCTTTTACCGTTGCTTGTTCCCATATATAGTCTCTGGGATTTAGCAGCACGTCACATAATTCCAGCCACCACACAGTCATACAACTCTCATATAGCTAATTAGATCAGCAACTGTTCCAGGCCTATGTAAGAAAAGAAGCACAGTAGAAAGACATCCTTACAACTGTGCTGAAGATGCTTTCTTGACTGCTTACATCATCAGTGGGGTCAAGGAGCTCCTAGACAGAGCAGTCGCAGCTTTTTGTCACAGTGGTCTCTGAAATCTTTTGAGAGGAAACGCCTCAAAGTTTATTTCTAGGAAATCAAATGACTAGCCACTGTCCAAGTAGTGAATTAGCATGTTGCATCCATGCAATCACTTCAGTATTACCCCATCTGCCTGATCTCTTGGGTAGTATCTCTCTACAAGTAAGAAGCAGTGGAAACTCTACCTCAGGGTAAAGGGAGCTTGGAGTTAAAAGCAAAATTCAATCCAAAGTAAAAAACAGTGACTATTTGTGAGTTCATGAAAACTGGCAGAGTTTTCTGATGAGAATAAACTAATGTGATTACTCTTTTGCCTCAACCAAGCTGCTAACAACTGCTACTTTCCTGGTTCCACACAAGTATGATCAGCAAGTGCAAAAGTTTACCTTAGCAAACCTAATTTAGGTTCATGTATCTTGGCATCTCTCAACAAAGTTTAAAGCAGCACTGTACAACTGGCAACCTGCAGGCTGCACACAGCCCGCAAGGAGTTAAAGTAGGGCTCCCATTTGACCACCACTCCCCTCCACTGCTCCTGCCACTGTGGTGGCCAGGGTCTCTGGGGCAGGGCAGCATAGCAGTAACCTCCCATGGCAGGGACAGAGGCAGTTACAACAGAGGGAGGAGCTCACACTGCTTATGTGGCAGTGGCAGGGGGCTGCCACCTTGCACATGTGGTAGGGGTGGCAGCATGGGGCTTGTGTGGCAGGATGCACCTGTAATGCACATACTGGAGCAGTGGGGGGCAGGGAGAGAGCTGGAGGTTTGCCTGGTGGCAGTCATAAGCTGGGGAGAGGCTTATACCATTTGGATGGTGGAGGTCCCAAAAGCCCGGGCATGCAGCTACTAGCCCACAAATAATGCAGCATGTGGCCACTAGTCCCTCTGAAGCTTAACAGCCCTGCTTTAAATAAATCTTTTGTTGTGCATACTAATAACATGTCTTTATACTCCATGCATTTTTTAGTTTAGTCCTGACTACAGTAGCCAAAACTGAGTTAAATGTACATTTAGAGAGTATATACAAAGTAAGAAAGTTTTGTACTTGTGAAAGTAAAATCCTGAGTGTGTTAGCTAAAGCCAGGCACCATACAAGCATATCATGCAAAGGCTTCAAATGCAGCATGTCACTGCTTCCACATAAACTCATTATTCTTCCAGACTCAATGCTTTCTGAGCAGACATGGTAAATTTGGATCTGTGACAGCCGACTAACCTGTAGACCTCAAGGTTAATTTTTCTTCTGACTTACCTAGGGTATGATACAGGTTTTGCAAAAGTCAATGAAAATCTTTACTTCAAAGTGTATTGGATGGGGCCCCAGCTAGCACCATTAATCACTGCAATGTCTAAGTCCTAGCTCCTCAATCTTTACGAGAAAATGAAGAAATTTGCCCAGAGCTAGCCATCTGCTGATCTAAAGATCTATGTCATAAGATTATTAAAAGCTCTTACCCAATATGATTTGTTCTTAAAGAAATTTCCAGTTCTCGCAGTACTTGTGTAGATTCTTGGACTCGTCTTCTGAATTTCTATAATTCAATAAAGGGAAAAAGTACTTGAGAAAACACACTTGGAATCTTATTTAGACTAATAAATATTTAGACTTTTGATGCTATTAAAAAATATCAAAATCTCACAGAAGGCAAATAGAAGGTAATAATTTTCAAATATATTGAGAACTTTTCTAAATCCTGAGGAATATAAGACTGTCAATCAGACCAATAAAGAAAAGAAATTAAACTAAAGAAAATGACTTTTCACAACTAAAATTTTGTACTCATGTGAAAATGTGTAAGCAATGCGAAAATTGAAACTTGTCAAAGGAATGTGCATTTTTATACTACAATTTCTGTTTTATCACTGAATATGTCATAGGCAATTACATTTTATGGATCTAAGCAGTAAGGATGTGTAATTTTAGACCTCTGATTTTGTGCCCATAACAGAAGACTTACCAGCATTTACATCTAACTGTGTGATCTGTGGGAGCAAACAAATAATTAGGGATCAAAGTACTACCATCTGTGTGCTCCAGTCATTTGGGAGTGCAAACTTCTGTCTAAAAAATTGGAAGTTGGGATGAGATGCAGCTTAATTGCAATATGAAGTCATAGATTAAGTTACACTACATCACAACAGAATGCTCTAATAAAAATATACTTTGACTTCTCAAACAACATAACTGCAATTTCACTCTAAAGGAATTACATTTGGCAAAATGTCCCTGAGGAACAGTGGCAAGGCTTCTCTTCACCCTCTGCAGTTGCAAAGCTGCTGATAGTTGTTGAAGATCTCTGAAGGACCTTTAGAGCATTCCCAGCTGAAGGAAAATAAGTTCATCTCCACATTGTGTCTGAGCTGCTATAGCAACACTAACTCTTGTGTGTGGGCAGTCAATAAGATCCAGTGATGCCCTCCTTTTTTTACCCACTCACACCAAGAAAAGACTATGTATTCTTCATCCACTTCAGTTCTATCTTGACTGTAAACTTACTGTGCTCAACAGCAGCTCCATATACTGTACTGGAAGCAGGGCAGCGCAGCACTGAAAGCAAGCTATTCAGCAATGACTCTCAGCAGTGCTACCCCAACTTGTCACCTCACAGCCACTGCTATGTTGCTTCTGGTCAGGGCCATCAGCCACTGCTCTGCCAGAGGCCCTGGGTGAGACGTGAAACATGAGACGTGGCCCTGGGTGATTTACTGTTGAGTCCAAATAGGCCAGGAAAATGGAAATTATTTATTATACCTGTGATGATGCTGTAACTGTGTCTCATCATCATAGATCTTGGATTTATAAGCTAAGAAGGTATGTACTTGATGCTAGTCCATTAGCACAGGCTAAAATCTTAGTGAAGACAAGATAAGCTATAAAGGTCACGTGAGTTACCAGGTCAAGATAAAACTGGGTTTCCCCCATAGTCTTCAACTCAGCCAGATAACTCACATGGAAACTACAAGCTGCCTTTCTCTCCCCTGGATTGTATCCCATATTAGTTCATTCTAACTAGCAACTGGGGTTACCACATCCTTTTTCTCTTAGTGAAGATGCACTAGGAGAGAGAGAAAAAGGTGGAGGGTGGGAGGAAGGAAGAAGGAGAAATGGGACCAAAGGCATAATTAATTAAGAGTTAATTGTTGTAAGCTAGGCATTCAGTGCAAAAAGGTGTGTACCTATACTGATACTGTTGTTTCACTGTAACATCCTAATAGAGATAAGCTATTAATAATTTTTACTTCAGTATGGTTACCCAAGGGCAACTCTACGCCCTTACTGTAGGGTAACCTCAACTAACTCCAAAGTAAGAGCAACAATAACTTGTCTGTACTAGGATTTTGGGGGAAGAGGGGGAAAAGACAGGAAGGGGGACAGACAAAAATAGAATAAATATTCCCAAACTTCTCATACCCTAATCATTATCCTCCAACTTGTTTGCTGTTCGCAGCCTTGACTGGAGACATTTAAGTGTTCTTTAGGTATTAGAAGCCACCAATCCATGATTTGTTTAAAAATGTATAATTTAAATGTGGTTAAATTTAGTATTTGAAAATTTAGCTTAGATGGAAAAATAACTTTTTTCCCTGGAGGAAAAAAAGCCCAATAACAACCCCAAATATATATTTTACATCAGAATTTGGAACTCCCTCGTCTTGATTATGCATGGGTTTACCACAGAAAATGCTGACACAACCTTCATTCCAGTAATAATTATGGTAATGTGAATACTCCCCACAAGAGCAAGTATCAGTCTAGAGATCCCATCTGTAAATCTTTCCCCTTTTCAGAGTAGACTGACTGAGAAAAGGCTGTTGGTGACACAAAATAAAACCGAAGAGAGAGACTTCATGGAGTTAGTTATTTTTAGGTTGCATTGGTTTTGTCATTATGAGGGAGTCTGATAGTAATAGTGGAACAAGAAAGGTTTCAGTGTGCCCACAAACTGACCAGAGAGGAAACCCAACACTAAATGAATTTCAAAACTCTTCCAGGAAAAACACAAGAACCCCTGTTCTCCATTTAAAAAGTTTACCGTAATCAGCTGCAGACAAACTTAAAAGTTAAGAATGGGATTCTCATTCTTTTCACATCTTATAACAAGAGAGACATTGTGTCAGAAGATACTTTTACTGCAACTTTGAAACAATGGGCAAATGAAGGCCAACAGGAAAGCAAATGATACCTAGCTCCTTTGCATTTCTTCAGTAACACAGGCCCACCTCAGCTACATTATGTGGTTGGTCCAGGACTTCCAAGCAATGTGTCAGGATATGTACTTTTCCCCAGGCACCAATCTAAGCTAATTGAATGGCAATACAAAGCACTGACTGTTTAAGATGCAAGAAAAAGAACCAGTCAATGACAGGAGCTGCTATTCTCTTGTTACCTTCTTTTTTTCTAAAGGCTGTTAAAAACAGCAACACGAGATACGAGCTGACAACTAGGGTAACCCAATACTTATGATTCAACGTTTGTATTCAATGGAATATATGAATATTCTGCCATCCTGAAAGCCTCAAAGAATAAGACTATGTCTACACTACATATTGCAGTGCACTGCAGAGTATCCAAGCTAGTTGAAAATGAGCTATTGCAGGTACCTAAATCAGCCTAGCTTGAGACAGATGGTAAATCAGCGCACACAGACAGTAGCATAACTAGAGAGGGATGAGCAGAGCACCCACCCCAGGCGCTGACTTAGAGGGGCACCAGAATTTCTCCTGGGAGTCTTTGCTAAGGCAGATGCAGCCTAAGCATAGAAGCTGGGCAGCCCTGCACCCAGTAGAGTATGGGGGAGAGGGGTCAAGCACAATGGTACCCCATAACCCCCATGGGATTTTTGGCATGGGAGGAGCTGCTCCTCACATGGTAGCATATCTGAGAGGGGGAAATGGAGCAGAGAGGGAGCAAACAAGGCACCAGGAGCAGTCCCTGGGAAGTCCGCACCATGGCAAAAATCCCAGCGAGGGCACCATTACACCCAGCCCCTTCCTCCATCTACTACTAGGCACGTGGCTGTCTGGCTTCTAGGGCTAGGCTGTACCTGCTACAGTAAAGACTCCTGCAGGGGGAGGGGTGTACTCTAGTGCTCCATACTGCAGCTGCTTTGAGGCAAACTTACTGGTGCTCAACTGTAGCACCAGTTGCTGCCAGACTGCAGAGAGAGATGGGACAGGTAGAGCCCCACCTCCCCAGATCTCTGTTAGCACTCTGCCAAGGGTACTGCAAGAGCTCACTATTCCCCTGCAGACAGAGATTCATGCTACTGCAGCTGAAAGACTTCAGTACTCAAGCTAGCCAGTGTAGACATAAAGCAAGTTATACACAATTTCCTCTACCGAAGGGATAGTAATGACAACAGCAAACCGCTCACTTAAGTTGCCAATATACCTCCGTCTCAATTCAAGAAGATTGCTCTAGAACTGTGTAACAGCATTTGTCTAAGAGCTGTTAACAGGTCTTGATCCTGCTGGGGAAAGATTATGTAGGCACTCAGATAAAAAGGTATCTCACTAAAAAGAGTCAAGGGAGCAGTGCTAAACTGATTCAGGCAAATAGTGTTATTCTACCTTAAACTGAGACTCGGGGTATGTATATACTGCACAACTAATCTCAGGTTTCCTAGCTGAAGTATGAGTGTTCCTACAGTAAGGCCCTGCCTGTATTTCTGCATATTTTACTGTCTTTTCACCTGCCTGCGTGACAGTCTTTCCCAGCCAGTTGTATCACTTGTGCAAGAACTTAGCTGTCCCTTAGGGTAAGTGTGGTAAAAACACTGGAGGACTATCAGCACCACAGCAGTCTTGGCTGCATCCTCACAGCAAAGTGAGGGCATATCAACTCAGGCTAAAGCACATTTGGCCTTTCCCCAGATCTCCAATCAGACATGTAAGTAATGAAGGGTTTGTACATGAGTATACAGCAAAAATCCTTCTCAGACCTAAGACGACAGTGTTAATATATCTTATGGATGCAATACATTTCACACCTATGTTTCAGTGTCCTGGCCCTTTCTGCCCTTGAAATCTCTGCTGAGATGGCCAGGAAGAAGCCAAGTAATGCCAGGGCTGGGGCATGTGGAAAAACGGTCACTAAGATCTGAACAGAGGCGACGTTCTTTTCCAATAGATGAGAAGACAGCCATTGGAGACAAAGCTTTTCATTTGCGACTAACGCTGCCTAGGTTTCAAGAAGGGACCTTGAGATCCAAGACTTCATTCCATATTCTTTCGGCCTATACCTTGAACTCACAAGGCATTAAATCATTCTTTTGCTCTTGCCAGATGCTCCTCATTTGTTTCACCTCTTTAGTTCTTTGCCAACTGAACTGTGAAAACTGCAGTCTTGCAAATTTCTCCTTGTTCCTCTCTCTGGTTTGTTGTATCTGAAATCTTGAGACCTTAGAGATTTTTTCAGGACCTTTTAGACAAAGGGAGGAAGGAACTCTGAATCCATGATGATTCCTCCTATTAGGGAAGAAGTGAGAGCATACAAAAGGAAACAGAATGCTTCTTACCTTCCTGGTCACAGCTGGATCAAGATAGCCCTTCAGTTTCTGGATGTATGTATGTGGCGGATTCTTCACTTGAAACCTTTCCTGTAAGGAATACATAAATAACTGTCAGCCAAGCATTGACTCGCTCTACATTCTAATTAGATGCTAGAAATAAATATCCAGATGACAACTGTAGAAGGACAAGGGGATCTGAGAGAGGGAGTTCCCCACTCATCCCCTTTCCCTCACACCCCAAGAGCAGAGCTGCCTTGCTGGCATCAAGACAAACAGCAGCGAGGGCCAGAGTGGGGCAGCGAGCGAGCTGGTCCTGACACCGTACAGCAGAGGCACCCTGGGGTGTGAGGGAACCTTTTCCTTTCCTGCTGCACCCAGGTTAAGGGACAGACAACCCCAGGAGTGCGGGAATGGGCAGCAGAGACACTCCAAGGTATGCAGCAGCCAGCACAACCCTGGTCTGGCACCTTAAAAGATTCCCTAGGGAAGCAGGACCCTCTAAAGAAAGAGGCCCCATCTGGGAACACAGGGGTTGGGGAATGGCAGCTTGAGAAAAGGGAACATCTGACACTAGTTTACCCTAGGTGATTCATATTAACACAGGAGAGGCGAGCCACAGGAAAGGAGCAGAAGCCGACGCTGATAGGCTGGGAGCATCCAGCCGATACCCTAAAGAGATGCTGGAAGTAGTGGAGAGGGGGACCCTCCCCTGAGAGAGTCAGTTGCAGAGGGTGAGGGGCAGTACACCTGCCCATATTTCTTTATCCTTGTGGGGAACGGACTTAGAAGAATTCCCAGTAGCCATCCGGGGAGATACAGTGCCTCATTCCCAGCGGGAGTCAGCATACAGACTGAAAGGTACTGGGACTAGCTCCCTAGCTATGAAACTGGAACAGCAGGAGCCAATAGCTGTCATTCAGAAGCCCATGGTGGGGGTGTAGGGGATGAAGGAACCCCTGTTATAGGCCTGGTGTCTTATCAAGGGCCATGGAGGACTATTTGTCAGAGAGAGGTGTCCTACCAAAGGAGCCTTCTGCTTCCTGTGGGACAGAATTCTACTGAAATCCTCCATCAAGTCATGGCAGGAGAGGTTCCGAGAGAGCGGAAGGTCCCTTTAGCGAGACACACTGCACGAGTCAAACCACAGAGCGGGACACGACTACAACAAGGTAAACCCTGTTGGCTAAATACTCAGGAAGAATTATGTAGTGTTAAAATGTAAGATGGATGATTGTACATGTCACCAAGCAAGCTGAGACGGAAACAGTTTGGGATAACACTAAAAAACACCACACTGGAACAGTATTCTTCACAAGTCACATTTTTGCAGTTAATCAGGTTTCAAGAAGGTGAAAATTGTCAATCGTATAAGTGATCTTTTTAAATTCACTTATTTTAAATTAAATTGCCAGCTCCTCTAGGTAGGGACCACACCTTTGTGTCTTTTTATACAAGGCATGTCAAAATTGGGGCCTAACCCAAATCAGGACTTTTCCAGTTTAAGTTAACATTTATAGTTGCTAAACTGACAGAAACAGCACAGAACACCTTTCATAGGCAAGCATTCACCTGTCACAGGGTTGAGGGATGTAGAATGAGGTTAGAACAATAATTAACCTGGAAAAATTAGAGATACTAAAACCTAATTTTTCAAGTGGTTTCTAGCTACAGTTAATATTCTTCATTAGAGTTATAGAAGTTACTCTGTACGTACACTCTGAGTCTGATCCTAGGGTCCTCACACTGGTAAAACCCTCAGAGATACCAGGGTGGGGAAGTTTCCTGCTCACAGACACCACGATACCTTTAGCCAAATTCGTGTATCCACAAAAGTCAATGGATTTATAGCAAAGATGAATCCTTAACATTTACAACAGCTGTAAAGTATGTGCAAGGCTGACAAGCTCAAGCATTTAGGGTATGGAAATAGTAGGCTTTGTCAGTCAGATTCTTTTACTTTCCCAACCACTGGCTCAGACCCATTCTCAGAACAACTTTAGGCATCTTAAAGGCCATTTCCATCTACCTTTGAAACCTTTGATTCTCACTCCACAGGAACTTGGTACCCTTACTGTCCTTGAGAAATCAGCTCTTTGAGCATATATGTGATGATAGAGTGGGTATGAATGAGTAGGTGCACCTTCTCCAAGTACAAGAGCTGACAAACAGCATAAAATTATGAGCTGAGGAGGAAGGAAGAGTCTTAGCTGCTGGTATGTTCTACCAGTTCCTCCAGCATTCGTATTTCAAATGGACAAGAAATAATAGTCATGTCTTGCAACACTATTGGGCTTCCTTATCTCCTGTATACTGAATAATGACTTTTAAGTTTCCCTTTCATTTTCAGATTGCTTACATAATTACACAATGCTGTAATGTCTCAAAGACTGTACAGTATTTATACATCACACTGCAGTAAGTGTGTTTATCCTATGTAAATATACAGTGAATACACCATGCCAAATCATAACACCGCATACTTATTTCTGTCAACACAAATGCTGCACACGAACACATTTACAATGCTCAGGAATTGATTCAACCTACCATTATTTATCAACATTGTCTGAATGTTTAAAGTTTTGATAGTTGAGGAGAGCTGCTTCAAGAGTGGAGCAGAAAGTGCTGCTGGTTTTCCTTAAAACATCTTTCAGAATCACCTCAGCCTTTCCATTTCCTGTTGGCTTACACTCAAACCTATCTGCCCACCCTTTTGACATCAGTCAATTCCTAGATGATCTAGGACTTTATGCAGGTAATCCGGATTATCGTGTCTGCTCTGAATTTCTACTTTATATTAGTATTGTTCCATTTAAAGGGTCAGACCAGATTGTAGCTGTCACTGGGTAAGTAACTAAAGTGTATATAAGAACTGAAATAATTGCCCAGAGGCCTAATAAGTTGTCCAGCAATTACCTGCCATCTCTAACATCCAGTTCAGCTGCTGGCTCTCAAACTCTAAGAGATGGACAATCAACAGACACATCTTTCCAATAAAAATTCCATTTCTTCCATAGGTATTGTATAAACTCTCATACAATATAAACTCTCATCAAGGGCATGACTGTGACTCTCAGATAAAGACCTATAATGGCAGGCAGCACAGAAGGTATTGTACCTCAGACAAGCTCCAGGGCTTCTGAAGCTCACTAAAGAGTGGATTGAGTGTGCGTGCGTGAACCACCCACTAAGAGGTGTGGCTAGCTGTGCCCTGCAGCATGGATAGCAGCCCTGGATTTCCTCTGTCTTTCTTTTGTCCCCCTGCATGGTGTATGCCTCCTGGGGGGCTAGCAGGGACTAGTTTCTGAGGCATGAATTGTAACAATTCCTGGCCCCTCAACACAAGACATAAAGAAGAGCAAAAGGCCCTTGGAGTCAAAAAGGAGTATTGTACAAGAGCCAGTTGCTGCATAGAAATTAGTGGTCCTTCTGTTTCAGAGTCCTACATCTGACATTTGTCAATGTGAAATGTTAGAGAAGATGCAAAATCATCTTGCAGTAGGTATTTCTTACCTTCTTGTCCTCTGCTACTGATTCCAATGGCAGAATACAAATTTGCACCAGAAGCTGAACTATACTAATGTTCAGTTCCTGCAGACTTCTGGTGGATAAGCACCATTCTGTCCTTGTAACTTGATGCTCTTTCAATTTATCAGGTGTTGTCAGTACTCTCTCCTTTAACCCTTCAATCACTGTTAGATCCTCAAATTTATTAACTGAAAAAAACAGAAGTCTAAAGCCCAAGCTACATGAGAAAAGGTTTTGCCTCTATAGATGTATCAGCTATAGTAGCTATAGTGTAGAAACAGCTAACAGCAGCAGCAAAGGGAAAATACAAACAGTTAATCAATATAGTTTATACCTGAGTGAAATACACTTTTATGCCAGAGCACCTGCGTCTACACTTGGATGTTTCCAGGTAAAGAATGTTACCAGAAAAGAAGGAAAAAAATTCAGAACATGGTATCTCCTGAGCACACTGAACTGAATCATATTTTGGTTGTTATTACTTAACAGCTCAACTGTAATTATTTCTTGAATGAACTCTTCTGTGCTACTAGAGAATAATATAAAAGAAACATTTTTCCTATGTGACCTAGAACTAACTGTCCAAGAAGTGAGCCTTTATAATATTGAGACATTAGTCTTATGTGGCATCTGAATGCTTTATATGGGGATAAATTAAAGCACTCATTATCATCAGTTCATTAGACTTAGTTATCTCTTTGATCTCCCTCCACATTCTCCTCTTCCTGATCTGGAAGTTAATCATAAAATGCTGCTATTATATTTTGCTTTTTATGCAGTGGATTACGTATTGATGCAAATTCTACTACGCTGATTTTAGAAGTAACCTGAGAATGTTTTTCTCAGGTTGTAAAGAATATTTTGGGGGTAGTTTTATACTTGGATTTCATCTACCCTTCACAGATTCATAGACTGCAAGGTCAGAATGGACTTTGGAAGTTCATCGGGTCCAGTCCGCTGCACCAGGCAGGAAAGATAACTGGGGGTCAAGTGAGCCCAGCAAAGTGACTGCCTTGTCTCCTCTTGAAGATTTCCAGGGTAGGTGATTGCACCACCTCTGAAGGGAATTTATTACAAAGTCTGGACACCCTGACTATGAAGAAGTTTTTCCTAATGTTGAGCCTGAATCAATCTTCCAGGAGTTTGTGGCCATTACTCCTAGTTTTCTCACCGAGTTGCTTACCGAGCCATTGATGCATTCCCCTAGTGTAGCAGTAAGCTGTACATGTGCCCATTGATTTGTCATTCTATCATGTTCCAGTAATGGGTATTACCATAAGTGTTATTGTATCGAATGTCTTCACTTTATTATACCTCACACTGCTTTGAAGATTCTTGCATTGGCTTATAAGCTTCTATTATAGTTTTAATTTGGGGTATATGACCTTTTACATACATTTGACTCCTTAATCCAATTGTCTATTATTTCTGTGATCCCAGAAGCTCTCTCCTCCAGAAATCTTGTTCATTTTCTGGCTCCACATCAATTCAGTTGGAGCTCATCCCCCCGCACAGGTTTTGTCTTTCCCTCAAGTTATCCATTGCTGAATAAACTGAAG